GCTTAATTCCAAACAAACTCAACGGAAACACGAAAAAAAGGCATGTTGGTATTTACAATCTTAAGGGGACTTTTTAAGATGCATTGACTAAAAAAAACTAAATCAAACTTGCCGGTTAGAGAAAAGAAACAAAGAATCCTAAAGAGAAAGAAATGGGTAAGGGCTGCAATTACTCTGTTCCTTTTTTTTCTTCAAAATTATGCTCAAAGCTACACAAAAGTTATCTACTCAAGGCCGTCCCTAATTTTGAACTAATACACTAGAATGAAGGCAGCCAATCAACAGCGCCCTCTGCCAATTCTTGGGTACTCTTGTTTGATCGCATGAAAGAAAAAAAAAATTCGTGGCAAGTGTTTAGTTTTAAAAGGAAATAAACTTTCCTCAACTGGGGTGTTCAGGGATATTAATGTCCCCCTTCGTCCCGCTCGTGAAAATTACGTTTAATTTAAATGGGCTTTTAATAACTGTATCAGGATATAAGTCCTGATATAAATTTTCCACTGAGAATTGTTGAAGGCAGAGATAGAGATGCAATGGCTGACATCCCGGATTTCAACAACCGAAGTGCGAAGAGCGTTTTTTTGCAGCAACGGGTCGTGAACCATAAACACTTGGATTAAAAGTCCATTCTGTCTACTCCAGATCAACTTTGTTGCTACGCTATTCTGTGAATTTACATCACACGAAAAGAATGATTCTAAAAAAAAAAAATAAGACGGAACAGTTTTAGCCGTTTTACGTTGCTAGATTTGTATTATCCTATACGATGGCTATTTTACTTCAACTATCGTTCATTATATATATAGAGGCACAATGCTCACACGTAGACAGAGAAACACAAAAACATGCGTAGTTAGAGGATAAAATCTTACTATTGATCTAGACTTACATGTTCAACAACACCTGTTAGTCTAGAACCAGTTTTACCAACATGTTACAGTGTAACGGTATAAAAGTGGTTGTTAATAGTGAAACTGTTCACTTACACAAGAGTTTTATGAACCCTTGACGACGTTCTTAATGAGATTAGCAGACAAAATTGTCATTACGTTTAGGCATTAATTTTGTTGTTTTTTTCAATACCTGCACACACAAATACATGGATGAAATATTTTAATGATAATTCAGAAAAACTGAAAACATTTGTTCTATATTTATCTCTATGCAATAGAGAGATCTTGACATCATAAAGAACACTAGAGAAACCTTGCTATAGTAAATATCCTACAGTACACGACAGCAATCTTTCTACGTCTAGCATCACAAGGTATAACAGACAGTACGTTATAGACATCTTGTTATTACAGATACCTCCTAGTCCTTTACACGGCTATGATATCATAATATCTATGTTTAATATAGAATGTCATTCTGGTTGCAACATAATCTGATACCATCCTGTCAAAATAATTAAAAATTTAGAAAAGTCAGTAAACTAACCTCTGAAATCAAACCTTCCTGTCGACAGCTTTCTGCCTTTCTCTGGATCAACTTAGCAAGTTTACAGATAATGATCCCATTATCTAATGCCTCCATGAAGTTTTCAACCGTAATATTTTCTATGTCTGTAAAAAGAAAACAAATATCAACTTGTAAAATGCCTGTGTTAACCGACATTCTACCAGATCTCTTGATGTCATTTATGTGATAGAAATTGAAAGTGTTTACTCATTTTTTTTTTGTTATTTTGAGAAAATGAATCCAATATATATTTTGAATGCAGAAATAAATTACTTACACATATAATCTTTTAAGTTACTTACAAGTCTTTCTTAGATTCTTTCAGCTAAAAAAGTAACGAAAAAGTTTGAGCACGCAAACCTAAATATTTTTATTCGCTCGTCCTATGCCTAGTTACCAGAGAAATGCGGTTGGGTTCATGCATAGAAATTTAAAACAAGAAAATCTATACCAGATCATGCGCGTCAATTATTGTAGCATTCACAAATAGTTCTAATAATTTTTACACTAAGTATGATGATGCAACCTGTACTAAATACAACATGAAAGTTTTATGCGAATACATCACGTAAGATATTTGTGAAACTACAAATGTAAGTAAAATACTGGGTCTTAATTCGGCCAAGCCTCTATCTCTAACAAGCTTGAGAAGACTGATATTTGTGAAACTACAAATGTCAGTAAAATACTGGGTCTTAATTCGGCCAAGCCTCTATCTCTAACAAGCTTGAGAAGACTGATATTTGTGAAACTACAAATGTCAGTAAAATACTGGGACTTAATTCAGCCAAGCCTCTATCTCTAACAAGCTTGAAAAGACTGATTTTTTCCTTTCAAAAATAATAATATTGATAGAACACGCCTCAATAAATTACTATTATTATTACCAAATACTATTTGAAATAGTAGAATGTTATAATTGTACGCTACCAAAGTAAAATATTAAAGGTAAAATCCTGTTTGTTTTAAACACCGAAAATAACATGTATGTATGAAATCAAATACATATAGTAAAAGAAACAGATATATAATACTTCAAGATCCACAGGATATTGTTTCTCAAGTTTAATACTTATAAAAATAAGTAAACAAATACAGAGAGAGATATACGTTTCTAAAGCAGACATCAATAACATGACCGTTAATGAAATAAAAAAATATACAGAAATAATGGGGTGTACTTCTGAACGGACAGTCTGTGCGGAAAGAATTACACCTGTGTTGCGTCAGCGAGTCACATGACTAGTGTGACGCCACGTTTCTAGAACTATCCC